CCTGAGAATGGAACTGGAAAACTCGCCAGGTGTGAAAGAAATGGAGGGAAAGTGACTATTAGGACATGTTTATAACAAAACCAATAGAACTGCACCCTTTTAGGGGTTAGGAAAGAAAAATATGATTAAATGAAGGTGGAAACATTTTTTGTGCTCCCCCCCTTTTAGATTTTTAGTCAATCCTGAGAATGGAACTGGAAAACTCACCAGGTGTGAAAGAAATGCAGGAAAAGTGACTATTAGGACATGTTTATAACAAAACCAATAGAACTGGACCGTTTTAAGGGTTAAGACAGAAAAATATGATTAAATGAGGATGATTTGGTTCAAATTAGGAGACTAAATGTACTTTTTAAAGATTCTGATTTCGTAAAATTGTACAGTTGGGGGAAATAAGTATTTGACCCCTTGCTGATTTTGCAGGTTTGCCCACTTACAAAGAATGCAACGATCTATAACTTTAATCATATGTACATTCTAACAGTGAAAGACAGAATCCCAAAGAAAATTCCAGAAAATCACATCATATGAATTTATAAAAATTGATAACCATCTGATGAGGAAAAATAAGCATTCTTTGTAAGTGGGCAAACCTGCAAAATCAGCAAGGGCTCAAATACTTATTTCCCCCACTGTATGTTATGTTTATTTTTGTTTATTCGTTTATTTGATAGGGACAAGTATGTTTCATGAAACATGTCAAACACTACAACATTTTAGCTAAAGGCTAATTCTCAACGCCTGTCCCCAGTTAGGCTTTTGCACAAAACACAGTGACTGTACACAACAGAATAAATTACACACTAAAACGTCACAAATACAAGATCAGGTCACTGTGTTTTATTAGTGGATATTTTTGGCCTCGGTAGAGTTAACTTCTCCCGGATAAAAGCTTGAAAACGTTAAACAAAACGATGGTGGTTTAAGGTAGGAAACACAATTGGACTTTTTGGTTTTAGCAAAACTTGGGGACAGAAGATTAAAGTCAAATGTGTTATGTACAGAAACAGAATCAGAATCAGAGGTTTATGTGACACAACTTTGCCATCTTAATTTACTAAAGTCTAAATGAGAGGTTTGTTATGCTTCTGTTCAAAAAACAACTGAGAGACAGGACAACAGCTCCATTTCCCACCATCAATTTACACCTCTGTCCACATCAGGATTTTTTCAAATGTAGATAAACTTGCTCACTCCACTTCCTCTCCTTTATTATCAGGTTCTGCCTTTTTAAAGTTAAAAGTGCTCTATAAATCTTAAAGAAGACAATCATACTGTGTAAAATACCATGGACTAAATAAAAATAAAAAAGAGTTCAAACTACACCACTAAATGACTGGGTGTTATATTCTCATTTGCTTAAATTCCGGTCATCTGAAGTAAAAGAGATTTTCTATTTTCTGAATCAATGTCCAGACGGCCCAGATTGTCTCAAAAAATAAGTTTAAAACTTGGTGGGTAAACAACAAAAAGTCAAAATATTAACAATCTCAGCTGGGAAAAAAACAAAACAATTAAAACCTCCAAAGATACGCCCAAATGCACAAAAAGTGTTTTTTATCTTTCACAGTGTGCATCCCTAAAACCCAAAACCTCCACTGTACAGTTCAGTTACTTTATTAAGCAAAGAAAAAGATAATATTCTTCATTAAATGACACCATATCGCAGCATTAGCCCCTTTAGATGGGAAACCGTTTAATCGTCTGCATCTGAGCAACACAAACACGTTCCACATGCATGATTGTGCTTCTGTTTTTTAACCAAACGTCCTAATTTCTACTGGAGCCGGACCTGTTTCCACCATAACGAGCACATTTCTGCTCACATGGAAAAAGGTCACCACAAAAACACAGTCTGACAGTTTCAGAGTTCACCGATATTAAAAATACCGTCTCTATAGAGCACAGAGCCCAGACATAACGGAGCTAAAGACTGATTTAAGCATGTAAAGTAACATTAATGGAGAGTTCTGAGAATCTTTAGCTCAGGTTAATGTTTGGATGTCAACAAGAGTATCCTGAGACTTGATCAATAAAAAATAATGTTATGTTTCCACCTTATGTACCAGTCTGGACACATAGAAATGTCTGTCAGATGGGCAGACAGTGGGGGAAATAAGTATTTGACCCCTTGCTGATTTTGCAGGTTTGCCCACTTACAAAGAATGCAACGATCTATAACTTTAATCATATGTACATTCTAACAGTGAAAGACAGAATCCCAAAGAAAATTCCAGGAAATCACATCATATGAATTTATAAAAATTGATAAACATCTGATGAGGAAAAATAAGCATTCTTTGTAAGTGGGAAAACCTGCAAAATCAGCAAGGGGTCAAATACTTATTTCCCCCACTGTATTTTCCACATATTCTTGATCCTGACAAGATGATATAAAGTTTCTTTTTTGTAAATGTGAATGCATACCAGAAAAAAAAGCTTAATAAGAGGAGAGAAAAGGTTCTCTATGCTTTAAGATGAGATAAAGGACTAAATATGGAACTTCCACATAACCAGATAATATGAAGTCCTTTTTTTTTGTAAATGTACATGCATACCAACAAAAAAGCGTAATAATGGAGAGAAAAGGTTCTTTACGCTTTAGGATGAGATAAAAGACTAAATATGGACCTCTGAAGGGTCTACCAAAGCCCCAATATCAGGTGGATCCGGATATGTGGGTGGGGCTGGAGCTGGGACTAAGAAACGATGTCAACAAGAGTATCCTGAGACTATATCCATCAAAAATGCCTTTATGTTTCCACCTTATGTGCTCT